TATGGTTATGCTTAAAGTTTCTTTCCTCTTCCAGCTAACTCACCTTTTCCTTTTTTTAATCTGTAGCATCAAGACATCAAAGCCATAATGCAAAGCACAATGCTAGTGAACATTATTGAAATCTTTTTTAATTAAACTTCTGCTTCTTAGAAGTTCTCCTCAGGAGGAGGAATGCTGTTGAGAGAGGTCTCTTTGGGCACTGCAAGCAACGTGCAGAAAAGCAAGACTTCTCACACCCGCTCCACTGGAGTCCCTGTGAGCTTCCTAAGCACTCTCTGACAAGCGTAAAATAAATAGGAAGCAAGATTTTGTCTCTTTATGAGATTCCCACCCAGAAAACAGAGGAAAACTCAATGGATAAATAAAATTGTGTCTGAATTCAAAGATTCTTGCCAATTTTGAAAGGTGGTTCACTGATCAGGTTGTGACTCGGTTGTATTATAAAACAAGGAAAACTGAGTGAGTCTAGATCTATGTTGTCTCCAGCTGAATGTCGTCATTTAGAAAAACCCTTGTGCTCTAAAATCTATGCTGTGCTTTAATAGCATGCATTATCTTTAATGATTCAGGCCTTTAGCTGTGGGGGAGTACTACCAGCAATTGGGCAGGCTTAGCTGGCTTCAGATTTTTGTGTTCTCTGTTTTCCTCCTGTGGCTCAGTGCAAGATCTTTTTTTATTTCTCGCTAAACAGAAACGGCAGGGTGTGGAGAAGAGGTGGTGTGTTTGCACTCCAGAGGACAGGAGCTGGCTGTACTCCTTCTGAACCACCATAAATTACTAGGAGCACAGGAAAGAGATGAAAGGTACTTATAGTCCTCCCTGAATAGTTGAGAGATGGTTTTGTTGTATTTTATTTTATTTTGGTTTTGTATTAGGGGTTCCAGATTTTTCATCATTCACAGCACCTGAGTAGAGGGGATAAAGCCTGGATTTCATCAAGATTTCAATATGTAAATTCAGAGTTTCTATATGTGTAGTTGCTAACACAATCTAGAGGTGTTTTCAGGTCCGAGATCCATTCACCATTCAGAGGTCAGTTCCAGACCATTTTATTTGCTGATTATTTTTCGTTTTTATTTTCCTTTGTGTTTTTAAATGAAAGCATTTTACTTCCCTTCTGACTTTTAAGTGTATTTACTCAGTATACAAAGACTTTTTAGATATTTTCATAAAGTTTATTTTCTAACCATGTTAGCCAAAAACAGACAACATGACAAGTTTGAAAGATAAATCCGCATAGATCTTTCTGAAGAATAAAAAAAAATTCATTTTAATGTACTCTTATATTTCAAGATCATCTTAAAAAGAGAAATGGAAAACTATTTTTAAAAGGGTATTTATATCATATTGGTTTATACCGATGAGACTACACAGAGAAATAAGAATTGTCAGACCATTTAAATAGTCATATAATTTGCCATAGATGGTTACATTGAACTCTGTAGAGTGTTACAGTGAGGATTAGATAAATGTACAAGCAGAGCATAAATTCTTTCCTATCTGATGAAAAGAGTAAGACTAAAAGACCTTAATTCCCTTGAAGATATCTCCGCCTCAATGGGTGTTTTCATTCCTGTTGTGCCCTATTTTTCCATGTAATGAAGTTGAACTACTTGAAGGTAACTCCTGGTTGTTGGAAAGCTGCTAGAACAGCTTCTCAGAGGAAGTGATGGAAACTGGCTTGAGGACACTGGGACTGAATGTTGTCATGGCAGCATAAAAGGCTCTAAAATCATAAAAAGTAGAGTTAAAATGTAGACACCGGTCCTGAGGATCTGCCTGTGGGAGGCTTATGTAGCTTAAAGAGCAGGTGTGTTCAACTGGAAATAAACAGTACAGGAGGAACATGGACTTAGGTCTTCTGAGAACCGCTATTTTACCTGCTGTCCTGCAGGAGAGTAAAAGTAAAGCTGGTGTTTTATGAGCCTTGGAAATACTAGCTCCGGGTAAAATGCCAAAGGGATAGCTTGCACCAAGCTTTGTGTTGGAAGCTCGATGGGGCTAAAGAAAGTGCTTACACCGAGCTGCAAGCACAGCCCGGCTTTACAAGTGGGCGAGGTTTGTCTCTCGAGTCACATCTAGCACCAGGGGGGAGATGGGCACAAAATAATTCGTCCTAGAGAAAAATGGATAGTATGGTAAGCTGAATTCGGTTTGCTGGAATTGAGCATAAAATGAAGGACTGAAAGCATGTGATTTGGCATTACTGATGCTTTCTGCTTGCTAGTGACAGTGACACTGAGACGGGTGCTTTGGAGAGCCCAGCTGTCCTTCTGTGCTACGTGCAGGGGCTAAAGAAAGACAAAAAAAGTGATACAGAACTCAGCTGCCTTAAAAAGGCACAGCAGTCCTGCACCTGGGGCAGGAAACCCAGCCTCTTGGTATTCCAGAACCAGGTCATAACCCCTTTCAGAAATGAACTGTCTTCCTTCCAATGGCATGTTTTGGGTTGGTTTTTTTTTGTTGGTTTCAGCTGCAAAGCTTCTTCGGAATCAATTTTCATTAATGGCAGGCAGCTTGCTGATAACTGCTAATGGATAACTACTGGCTAACCTGTGTGTATTTGTGGTCATCTTTCTCTGTTGTCCTCCCTCAACCCCCATCATATATTCCCGGAAAGTAATCCTCTCCTCACCCTTCCTTGTAAATTAGGCTCTCCCTTCACCTAATCATCCCTTTCTTCCCCATCTGTTACAAATCACTGGTTTAAACATGTTTGATGGGAGCAAGAGACGGGAGAGGTCTTTCTTTTACTAAGGTTGGAGGAATCTATTTTCCTTACTGTTACATGAACTTGTGTCTCAACTTCTGGGATTAGAATCTGATTTTGAAGCATTTTCATGCTCGGAATCTTCAAATGGGTGTTCCTCAGCAGGCCAGGAATGTCATGCAGAAATATTTTCACTGAATTGCAAGGCTAAAACCTATGGGGCATGAAAAACCTGAACAAGTAGGACCTAGGGAACACAATCCCAGCCTGTAAACACCAATGCACCACTCTGATTAAAAGTATGTTCAGAGGTGCATAAACTCATATTAAAACGTTTCAGAAGTGCCTAAACTGTCAGATCTCACTGTCTTGAAGCTGGACATAGGTTATTCTATTATTTATTGCTTTTGGTATTACCAAAATTTCATGTATTTACAAGCTGCCGTGGAAATTCACTTTGTCATAGGCTGAAAATAAGTAGCAGTTGCATTTACTCATAAACCCCTTTTATTGCCTTCCTACGCTAATTTAATTTCAGTCCTTCAGCTGAAATGTAAAACACAAGGAAGCACACTAAGAAAACTAAAACCCCCCGTTTCTAAAATGTGCAAATGCAAACAAATGAATGTGTTTCAAATTTCATTCTGTACTGATCACTAAAATATAGCTTGACGAATCATATTTAGAATTGAATTGCTTATTTCATTTTTTAGTAAAAAAAAAAAAAAAAATAAAATGCCAAATCAATTGCAATCCTTTATTCTTTGAGCACAGAGAACACTTTTATCACCAAATTACCAAATATTTTCCCATGTGCATCATGCTCCCCATGTGTAACTACAAAAGAGATCAGAAGGAAATAGGAAAAGACAAAATCAGAAAAATAAGACATATTTCTCCATTCAAAATATAATCCTAAATGCAGAATCTAGAATAATTAGCAGCCTTTTACACTCAGACACGATTTAAACATAAATGGTATTGTAACCTGGGGCCCAAGCCTGCAAACATTAAAGAATATGAGGTTATTTTATGCATGTGAGTAATTCCTCTTGAGAGTATTTGCAAGATTAAGAAACCAGAGTAATGTGATAAAATAGTATGGAAGGAGATTGTATTACATCTGAACAGGCTGTACCAGTTAGATACTACTAACGTAGTCTACTTAATATTAGTCAACTCACAGGCATCATAAAGATGACAAGATCAGGTATTTTAATTAAAAAAAAAAAATCTATGTGTAGCACTATCAGGTTGGCACCTTTGATGAGGAAAGTCTAGATAAATCTCCATTCTGGGAATCGCTATATATTCTTAAATACATAGAAATTAAGTTCTGAAAATCCTTATTGACGTGAAGAAAATATACCAGTGGTATATACTGCACCACACACACCACGAGGCAGCATACCTCCAGCCCTACCGCTGTTGCAACGAACAGCAAAACTCCTGGGACCGCGGGAACCCAGCCCTGCCTATATTGTCATTGCAGCTATCACATCCCAGTGAGCCAGAGACGTAAAGACAGCAGAGTTGCATGCATCTGCATCAGCAAGAGATCCGGCCCTACACAAGTCTATGGGAAGACAATGTTAATTTTTTTTATTATTTAAATATATTGAAGCGAAATTTTACGAATACACTTTCAATGCTTTTCCCCGAGTTTTAGATGTGCAGTGACGTGCAACAGAACATTTCCGGACCTCATTAAACTTCAGTGATATTAATAAAAGCACAGTCAATGTCTTTGAAAATTACATTCCTTTCTGTATGAGAGGCCCTCGTTATGTGGAGATGGAGAATCTGCTGGGGACCCTAAATGGTGGATGCGTTTTTGTAAGCGTAAACCGTTCAACCGTAATTTCACTTTAATGTTACGTTAGCAGTTTGTATCTGTTTTGTTACAATCAGACCTTTGAGAAATGGTATTTACAAATCATTTTTGGCCAAAAACACTGGAGAGGAAAAAAAAGTCTTTTTACAAAGCCAGACATGTGTTACCCATCATACAGCCAAGTCCATCTGTTCTTCAGCACTAAATTCTAAATACGTATCTTAATTGTATTCAAATTTTCTCACTTGCACCAGAGGAGAGCAAGAACCACCTCACTGAACTTGAGTGATCTTCTGGGGTTTAGTCCAACTCCTACTTAGGTCAATGGCATACCTTTAATGACTTAAGTAGAGCTTAAACAGAACAATCTTAGGAGTCAAACCAGTGCTTTCTAGAGACTTTTCTGATCCCCGTGAGCTTTCTTCTGAGATAGCTCATCTAAATGTACACAGAGAAATGCTTCATGGCAGAAGGAGTAGCCAAGAAACACCGGAGTCGGTGAAAGACTCAAATGCAGCCGGAGACAGAGGAGAAATTACCACAATGCAGGGAAAGAAGCCAAAAGGTGAGATTAAATTCCAGTCCACTCACAAGATCCTGAACAGCACAGATGCTTATTCTGTACTGTGAGCCTTGCTGACCATAACAGTTCATCTCCTCAGGATAGTTATTCCCAAAATATGTGAAATAGCAGACTTTGTATGGCCTGATGAAGACATACAATCTGAGATTTCATATAATTCTGATGAGTTTTGGTTCCTGCTCAGTTGTTTTCTTCTGTAAAGAGGAAAACCTCTCGTATGTACTGTAGAAATAAGTATTAAGTCTGGCTAACATAAAATACACTCTGTTTTATAAAACACTGAAATGATTACACATAGTCAGTGGTTCTCTAATATGTAGTAAAAGTATTTTCCTGTGATTATTATTGTGTGACATTGTGTGTATGGTGATCAAGATCTGGAAATATTTCCTTGACTCTCTTTATGAAAGGCTTTGTGCATATCTATATTATATTTTAGGGGGAAACATTCTCTCCTTACAAACTACTCCCTTATAGTACAGTCTAAATTCAAGGAAAGCTGATCTTTGAAATTCACTGCTAACTCACGCCTGTATTTGTGCAGGATGCGCTGAATTTGCAACTTTCACCCCTTTCCTACTCAGAAAGCCCTGCCAAGTTAAAGTGGGAAGAAGAGCATACTGCAGAGGCAGAGTTTCTTCTTCTGACCACCCTTCCCCCAGGCTGAGGCCACACGTTGCTTCCAGTGATGGAAGCAGAGGAAGACTCAGCGTGTTTATGTTCTTCTATCAGGAGGCTGTTCTACCAATTCTATTTTGGGCAGCTTTAGTTCAACACTAGTTCTTTTTTAAAGTAAACTCAAACCTTTAAAGGTTCAAATAACTTTTCATGAAGTAAAATGAGAACTTTTTTTTTTTTTTTTTTTTTTTTTTTTTTTTTTTTTTTTTTTAATGTTGCCATCTGTTTGCCCAGCTTTGTCTTGTAAGCTACTTTTAACAGGACATTAAGCAAAGCACTTGAAAAATATTGCTAAAACAATCTTAACTTTTCTCTAGGACACAACTTAATAGCAGTCTTTTCCAAAACGTTCCTGTCGCATTCAAGGTGAAATTAAACATCCTGTGTTTCTTCCGAAATTCACCAATTAACACAGTTTCATTCCCTAAATGATTTCAGTTGTGTACCACAGAAAATGTGCTTATAGGTGAGAACTGTGCCAGATTATTGTCCTATGACCACCTGCATACGAGAAATGGTAAATTCTGTCAAATTCATGTTGGAGAGGAGGGTTTGGTTCTGTATAGAGTACTACACTACATAATAATATTAGCATATAATAATATATTATTATATATAATGATACTATTCTGTTTTGTAAACAAGTTTCCTGTCCTTCAGAACTTAATGGTGAAGGGGTTCCTGTGGAGCTGTAGTACAGAGTGTATGCTTACTACATCATACAGTAAGGTAAGTCATTCTTATCTGCAGGACGCCTTTCATAGATATTGTACATTTTATGAAAAGGGACCATTTGAAAGATCAAGTATTTTCCTCTGAAAAAATAGCAGATACATTTATTTATTAATAAATTGTAGTTAGCATTTAGATACGTCACTGTCTTCCCAGTCTGACTTTGCTTCCTCTGTCAGCCTTGTCATCAATAAACAGCCTTTTCATCTATAGAAAAGGCCGGGCTGTGGGGGTGTGGGGTGTGTGATAATAAGATTTAAAAAAAAAAGAAGAGTAACAGGCAGGACTTCCTATATGTCAGCTACATGCTCCCACATTTGCCAAGAGTGACTAGAAAAATTCACACACGACGCTCATAGTAAATTTTTATGTGGAAAAAATAATTGGCATGGAGATTAGGGGACATATCAAAACACTGGACTCTTTCTACACGTTAAACAACCAGCGTGCGAAAGATTAATCAAAATGCATATTCTGTAATGTAACAAAGCAAAAATCTCTTCTGTCATATGAAGGAAAAAAAAAAAATTGCTAGTAGGTGCATGACCAGAAAGGTACCAAGTTCTTCAATAGGTATGAAAGCCTGAACTTTGACGGAGACGACAGCAATTAATCACAGCGTGTGGCAGACCACGAAACTCACTCTGGGCTAGACCAATGAATCAAAGTATTGCTGAAATTGCAAATACTAATGCAACTGTCAAAGATTTAAAGTGATTAAATTCAGCAGTATTAAAGTAATAAAATTCTACCAACATGGTGGTCCTGAGGCAAAGGGATGTCTTAATAACTAAAAATTGAATTTGCACTCTCTTCTCTGCCCTGAATCATAAATAAAAGTCCTATCATGGTTAATTTGGCCTTTCAGGTTTCCCAGGCAGACATTGTTCTTTGTGGACAGCAGAGATTCTTTTGCAATTTTTATAAGCATGTATTGTGTCCTGATACCCATTACTAGCCACATTTTTTTTTTCTCCACACTGGTGTACTCTGTTACACGATTGCCATTTCGTCCTTAAAGGCAATGGGCACATACATACCTTCTACAGCAATTAGCTAGGTAATTATTTAAGTAAAATTCCTTTCAGTTTGGACTTAACATTTGCCTAATAATGTTAAAAGCACTTCAAGATCATTCTTGACCAGATGCATGTGAAAACACATACATAAATAAATGCTGTGATTTGTATTATTTGTGCATTAAAATAGTGCACTAATTGGCACTGTTACAAGATGTTATTGGGATGATGAAATTCTAGAAAACTCTGTTATGTTTTCTATAGCATCTAGAGAATCTTATAGTCCCTCCTTGTGACTAAATTCACGTCAGGTGGATGTGAAGGAAAATACTACCCAACTACAAGACCACCAAGGACTGGTCCTGTTAACACAAGAACACCTGTACACATGTATAGGCCCATACACAGGGAAAGTCGTTTTCCAATAGAACTAAGACAGGAGTTTACACATGGATAGAACTGTGCATAGACAAAGGCAGCCACAATCCATGTGCATTTTCTTAATCTTCTGATGGCTTTTTGGGTTTCGCACATCCGGTAACAAAATATCTAAACTAAACCAAATCAAACTATTCTTGTGGGAAAAAAAAACCCAAAACAGTCCACACGAGAGAGGTTCATGAGAATGACTGCTTGCACAGTCATGAACAATGTCTCCTTCTCATGCGAAGCTTGAGCCCGAAGCTTGCAACCGAGCAGAAGCCCGAAGGCACGTGAAGAAAGTTTCTTGAACCGCTATTCTTCCTGCACTTTGTCTAGCTGTGATCACAGAGTATATCCTGTCATATCTGCATTCCCTCCACCTGTGCCGAATGTCTAGAACTAAAGGGCCCCATGTTTGGCTGCCTGGTAAGACACTATCATAAAAATATTAAGACTTTACTAATCAATTTAGAAAGAAAGCTCATCCTCTTACCCAGTTATGGATTAGCTTCACACTAAGACCTCTCTCCTAAGACAAACTTTGCTTTCATGTTGTTAGCTTACACTGGAGACTGATTTCCACTTTCTCTTGGGCTGGTAATGCAACTATTTTCCAAAGAAGACATAGGCTGTACCACTTGATTATTGATAACCTTTCAACAATGACTCTAGCGTGTCACAACACACACAAAAACCTGCAGGATGCTCTTGCTCCCAGAAGTCCTACTGACATATACTACAGCACACAGCACCAATATTTCACGTGGCATTAAAGTGCAGCTGGTAACACCTAGGCTAATTCATCAATGAAGCTATAAGTGAAGTATCTCTGGTAAAAATGTCACAAGCTTGAGTGACACAGACAAACGGGTCTAAATTAAAAATTTCATTATAGTTAGCAAAATACAATTGAGGTTGGATGCTTAGATCTTTCATGCTTCTCAGCCACGACTGTGCAAATATAATTTACTTAGTCATTCAGGATGAGCACCTCCCACTCTTTGGGAATTGCTTCTGGGACCTGTTCTTCCTCCAAACGCTTACCAGGATAAGGATTTCCTGACTAGGATGGCACAAACAGTTTGTCATGTTAATACTGAACCTGTCAGTATCTACCTATGTTTGATTTTTTCCTAAGAAAAATATAGCATGCTATAGATTCAGTTCTAGTGGGACAGGATTAAACATTTGACTTACACAGCGGCTATTGCTTCAATTCAGATATATTTTCTTATTTTTGAAGACCAACAAATGCACTAAAATACCTCTGCCATAGCAATGCCTGGCTTTGTAACTTAGGACACCGCTGCAAACATCTGGCAAAAATACAGCAGTGCGCTTATATGTCACCTCAGAAAGTAAAAAGCAAATGGATATGCATGGTTTTTCTTTTTATATATAACCTGTAGCATTATTTTCCATCTCTCTGTTGTGGTCCTGCACTGGAATATGAAGCCTGTCATTCTTTGGACACAGAGAAGGTGTACGTGCCAACTTTTAGCTTTTTTATTAAAATGGACAGCAATGTCAAATTTCATACCAAAGTTTTCTTTCTCTCAGATATTTTTCACTTGGTTGAGTTCTACGGGTGTTACAAAAAAAGCACACACCAAACGGAATAAATGGCCTCTTCACCTGCTTCTTTTCCATTATTTTGTAAGATTCTAACCCCACTAGTTTTCCTGCTATCCACAGAACTTTGGTGTAAAAAGACCTAGCTTTCCCAAGTAAAAGATAATCAGAGAAAGGAAGTTCCCTTTTGGAAATAAAAAACAAGCAAAGTAACTATTACATTATGAACATTCTTCACAGATCACAAATTAGAAACCCAAACTCTGTTGTGTTGTGGTTTTTTGTTTGGTTTTTGGTTTTGTTTTTTTTTTTTTCCCTGCTGGTATATATCAGCGCAAATTCCTGGAACAATACGGTTTAAGATGGACAGTGCAATGAAGTAGACAGTGGAAGCACTATATAAAATTTGCTTTTCAGATTTTCTTATTCTCACAACATCATTGTCCAATTTTCTGGGTCTACAGGAAAGTTAAAGCAGCTGCTTTAGCTTCTTAGTCTTTATTGAAGTCAGAATAATGCTACTTTAAAGATATGTTTAAACATGTCTCCTTATCACAC